AGCAAGCACAGTTTCATCTACATATATCACAGTTACTGGTTACTTTGCTGGTATACATAACCTAACAGAAATTACTCTGTTTAAAGATGAGCAATGCAGAAAGCACAGTTTCATCTACATATATCACAGTTACTGGTTACTTTGCTGGTATACATAACCTAACAGAAATTACTCTGTTTAAAGATGAGCAATGCAGCAAGCACAGTTTCATCTACATATATCACAGTTACTGGTTACTTTGCTGGTGTACATAACCTAACAGAAATTACTCTGTTTAAAGATGAGCAATGCAGCAAGCACAGTTTCATCTACATATACCACAGTTACCGGTTACTTTACTGGTATACATAACCTAACAGAAATTTAAAAACAAGCATTACATAAAGTTCAAAATAATAAAATCCCTTAACAAAATTATGAGCAAGTTACATACTTGTTCCCAAGTTCAGTTAGAAAGTCACTGATACTTAAATCGGACTTCCTGGAGTTTCAACATGATGAACAATTCATTAAAAAAAAAACTGTAGGGTGACGGACACTTCTAGTCAGAGGGCAACCAATGTTTCACACAAACAAACTCACTTTCGTAAAGTTATAAATAGGCCAACTAGTCACACAGACGAACTATCTCATTCTCATAGTAATACATAGGACAGATATTCTCACAGACAAACTTACTTTCATAGGGTTTATAAATATTCACACAAACTCACTTTCGTAAAGTTATAAATAGGCCAGCTATTCAAACAGACAAACTATCTCATTCTCATAGTAATACATAGGACAGATATTCTCACAGACAAACTTACTTTAATAGGGTTTATAAATATTCACACAAACTCACTTTCATAAAGTTATAAATAGGCCAGCTATTCACACAGACGAACTATCTCATTCTCATAGTAATACATAGGACAGATATTCTCACAGACAAACTTACTTTCATAGGGTTTATAAATATTCACACAAACTTACTTTCATACATATGTAACAACCAGACACCATAAAAAATAAATAGTTAAACAGCCAGCTGTGCACACTTAAAAAGCAATATTATTCTAAACACAAAACCACTTAAACACATGTAGTTAATCAGGCAACTAAACATACAAATGCTTAAATAAAAGTAATCAGCCACACAAATGTGCATAACAACATACATAAATATAGGTACTTAACCAGTTAGTACAGTACACAAACAAGTGAACAAACATAATTACAGGTATTTAACCAGCTAGACAAACACACAGATAAATAAAAATGGTAGTATTGATCAATTTTTTAGATATTTCCTGATATTTTTTATACTGGCAGTCATGTTTAAAACATGCATATATATCTAGCAAATCATGCATTCTTAGTTTCAGGTAGAACCAACCAATAGGGTGTCGATAACAAGCTTAACTTGTGCTCATACAAATATAGTTACCCAGTGTTCTGCCATCCTCATGTGAAGAATCATACAAATTTAGTTACAGTGTTCTGCCATTCTCGTGTGAGGAATCGTTCAAATTTAGTTACACAGTGTTCTGCCATCTTCGTGTGAGGAATCATTCAAATGTTAATATACACAACCATTCTCATTCATGTAAATATACATGAACTCTCACACACACAATAACTACCATATATAACCATCAACTCTCTCTCACACACACACACAGACACACACAATAACTACCATACATAACCATCAACTCTAGCACACACACCCAATAACTACCATACATAACCATCAACTCTCTCACACTTACACACACAGACACACACAATAACTACCATACATAACCATCAACTCTAGCACACACACCC